GACTTCCCTGCCTCCCTCTCTTCTCTGCGCCTTTCCAGTCTGGAGCAGATCTCGGCTCCTGTCCAGTCCCCTTTACAAGGAAGTCGCTTCCATTAAAGTTTTATCCCTCTTTGTCTGACCTAATTTGATCGCCACCCCGTTCGCTCAGTCCGCTTCGCGCTGCCCAAGGCCGGCGCTCGCGCGCTTGCCTTCAGTTTGAACGCACACTTTTGCGATTGTTCTGAGCCCGCAGTCCAGAACTGTGGTTTGGATTGGGAGCACCTTCCTTCCTTCCTTCCTTCCTTCCTTCCTTCCTTCCTTCCTTCCTTCCTTCCTTCCTTTAGCATAAATGATGGGAAGACAGAGTCAGCAGTGATGAAACTAAAAGCAATTTTAAGACTCTAGACTTCGGTTTGCGGTTTAGAGATCCAGCTGCATACACACACACACACACACAGAGAAAGAGAGAGAGAGAGAGAGACACGGGGTACATTGTGGAAACTGTTTACCAAGCCTCTGTGGGGTTTTTTTAAGGAAAAGAAAACAAATACTGACTTGAGCATAGGCAGTGTACACTGTGGAAACTGTTTACCAAGCCTCTGGGGGTTTTTTAAGGAAAAAAAAACAAATACTGACTTGAGCATAGGCAGTTTTCTCATCATGGCTATGTTATTCTTATCATGACTATGAGAATAAAACGGGATTTCCTTCTGCTACATACTTGGAATTAAGGTATTTTTGTTGTGGAAAAGGAAGAAAACGTTTGAAAGACAAATAATAACACGAGCTTCTGTTACCATGTTACATGCCAAATTGTCTCCCTTCCCAATCGCTGTCAAAACATTTTAGTAGCCAAAAGTCACATTTTGTTGCAGAATTCACACACAACTAGATCTACAAAGTAAGCATTTTGCAACACGGTCGCTAGAAAGCTGCACCCAGTGTTCCAAAGTTTCAGCCACTTGCCAGGTATGGATTCTTTTAAAAGTTTGGGCAAACCTTTTGCCACTGAGATACTTTTAGTCAATGTCATACCACTGAGAGGGGAAATAATTGCAGGAAGGGGAAGAAATATTGGCCGGAGATCCTTTGGGACTTACTTGGATGCAGACAACATTATTATTGGGAGTTGCCCCATGTCCAGAGTGCATATAAGCTTAATCATGTCCAGCCTCCAGTAAGAGTGGGACAAGAAGAAGGAGGTTGATTTCACTCAGAAGCACTGATGCTCTTAATGGTTTCAAGAAATTGGAGATGCGCTATCTCAGATGCCATCACTAACCACAACCCTTCTGCTAAATCACACAATACATTAGAATCCTCGTGGTGCCAGGATTGGAATCACAGAGATCACACAATGCAAGTTTTATTTTTAATTCTGCCTTGTTGTCCTATGTCTAAAATTCCCATCTCCTTTGAATGCAAAGATGCCCAAAAAGCATTCAAGGAAATGAGAAAACCTCTGTATTTTCACTGCTTTTGAAAAGACAGAAAAAGCATTACCACTGCCTTATAATACTAGAACCCAGGAGCCTTGAAAACAAAGCAAAGGACATGATTTTCACACCACTCTTAGTTCAGTTGTGGAATTCATCACCACAAGAGCTAACGGTGGCACCAATGTAGATGATTTTGACTGTGGATGAGAACAATTTATGAAGGATAAGGCTACCAGTGGCTACTAGTCACTCAATGACTCAGTGAATTACTCACTATTGAAGCAGAACTTGTAATATGTAGTCAATTAGTTCTATATGACACAAACTTGTTAAACATGTTATCCTTCAAATATCACAAAACCCTTTCCTGGTTTATAAGCTCTGCAAGTATGCATGTGCAGAGAAGTGTGGGGGAAGTATGGGGAGAACTTAACTCCCCCCCCAAAAAAAAATCATACTTCTGAAAACTTCATGAGCACGTTGATGAATCTGTCTGAGCTCTCAGTAGCCCCTTTTCGGCTACGGTGATCCTATTAGGATGAGCTACCTGAGTTTTCTATTAGGAGAAACAAATCCTTTAAGATGGCATATTAAAGTATAACATTTTATGTTCCTCAGTAAGATAAAGAAGTGTGAGTGCTTATTGGTGTGTAGCAGGTACGAAAGGCTGGTACTAAAAATATCTTGGACAGAAAAGGTTTGTTCACCTTTTGACATTAGTATTGAAACATCTGTCAGGAATGATCCAGTTGTAGACCTATAGCCTCAAGTCATGACTTCGGTGTAATATCTAAGAGTTAGAATCTCAGAGCACAGGAGCAGATCCATGAGCTAGTTTAATAAAGGCTTTTGTTTTTAGCCCATTTTGTTGTCTCTCAGGAGCCTTATGTCTTCATTTATGAGAGTTTTAATGAAAACACACTGCCTGGGCAGGATGTACAGTGACAAAGATTAAGTGCAGTTGGAACCTCTGCATCTTGTGAAATGCTCAACTACTGTACTTTCATGTAGTGCTTTACCATAATTTATTTTGCTTAATTTCTCTAGCATCCTAATATAAATATTCTCAGGGCAGCTTACACGGTAAACACAGAAAAAAGCTAAAGCAGTGGCTAGAAAATGGCATTGACAATAATTTTTTTAAAAAACACACAACTAATTAAAAACCTAAGGAAAGGAAAAGATCTTTGCCTGGCATAGAAAGCAGTGTAGACACCAGGTACGTTGCTATGGGGAGACGAGAGAGAGTCTAGTGGGACCTTGGGGCTAAATCCAATTTTAGTCCCGATCAGAGCAGATCGAATGGAATCAGTGGAATATTTGCCTTGTTGACTATCAAGTCCCATTCATTTCAGTAAGTCTACTGATGTTGGGGCTAAAATTGGATTTAGCCCCTAAAGAAAAAGCAACAGTCTTATGGTACTTTAAAGCATAACAAGTTTTATCTGGCATACTTTTTGCATCTCATGAATCGGGCTGAAGTCCACAAAATCCCAATAAAATGTTCTGCTTTTTAAAATGCCATTCCTTGTTAGTTTTGTTGAAATAGACAAATGTGACAACCTCCGTGGAAATTTACA